AAGATTGCCATAGTTTCTTGTCTATTTAGTTGCATTATCTCTTTATTCTTATTGAATAATCTAGACAGTGTGCTTTGAGTTCATATTATAACCTTCCTCGTCAATTCTGCATAGATTGCAAAGAGAATGTTTAAATTGTCATTAATAATTTTATTTTTTTACTATAAACAAATTTTATTTTGGCAAAAAAAAAAAGGGAAGAAATAAATTGAATAGCCAAAGAATTTTCCCTAGTTTTATTGGTAACTTAGACAAACTTCTCATTTTCTTAATTTCTATAAGAAAATAGTGCATTTACAGTATAATTGATCTGATAAATTGAATAAGTTAGACACAGTTTATTCGAACGTTTAAGAAGTGATACAGTGATAGTTAGTGGAAGGGAAGAATATGTGAAGCGTAGCTTGTTACGTTCAATGTATGTTACAATTGTTCACAAACTAAGATTCAATGCTTTAGATAAATATTGTTTGATTGTGTGTTGACTTTGTTCCAAAATCTAGAATTTTTTCTCGTTTAGTCAAAATATGAGAAGTTAACGAATGATCACCAAGCTAGTGAAATTTTTGTCGAATCCAGCGAAATCTTGATACTTTTCTCATGCGTTAATCAATTACTTCTGGAATCAGGTATATATACAGTCGACATTGACACTGAAATTGAGAAACGAAAGCTAAAGGAATTGGCAGCAAATCTCTGCACAAATGTTTCATATGATGAAAGTATAAACCTATATGTGTGACAGATAAATTGCATTTAGTGAAGCATACAACCTTATTTTGCCTGCAAGAATTAGAATTTCGTCCAGGAAAAACAATACATTCTTAACCTATCTTTGAGCGCACAATTTTTTAAAGTGTTTTTCTTGTGAAGGAAGAGCTCCTTGGATTCTTGCCAGTCGACAAGACTGTTCTGTAAATAGCTGATATGTTGATTGCCTCTTCCATGGAACAATGCCAAACTCGTCATTAAAATCTTCCATCCCTTCGACCACAAACTGCCATACCAAAGTCCCAGCTCCAGACTTGTTCCGTTTAGCAGACTTGTGTAAGATATCGAGAATGACTTTGTAGAATCTCTCTCGTTGAGAGGGGTCAAAATCCAAGTCTTCGTTAGACAAACCGAACTCGGTGAACATTATGGGCTTTTTTAGATCTTTGTCACCGTCTTCGATGTGAGAGATCATCCACTTGGAGACGAATCTTAGGTTATATTCGAAATTCTGAATATGAGACCTAGCGAACGAAAGATATTGACTTATTCAACCTAATATGGAAGATTGCACAATAACTAAACGAATATATAAATAGCTTACCAATGGTCAGGGTAAATATGAACTGAGGCAAAATCAATAGTTGAGATCATTGAGTTTCTTGTAAAATCAGATCCAAGATCAGCTGCCCAGTACTCGGGATTGAAGCTTAACCTTTTTGAGTTTTTAGGGCCGTAGAATCCTTCAAGACCCACAGTCACTAGATGGTTCGGGTCAATTGATTTCACAAAATATGACATTTCTTCTATCCAATCCTGCAATAGTCCATATCCACGGGGGAAAAAGTAAAACTAAAAATCATCAACCAGAGTAAAAGAATCATCCTATCCATTAAAGTACATTTTGAAGATCTCGATCTTTTGGTCTAAGCATTATGCATGAAAATATAAATAAACACTCATTCTTCCGTTAAAAGTATCCAAATAGGACACTGAGAAGTTCATAAAGAAATGAGCCATCTGAGAAATGTGAGCACGACAGAGTTACATGTTTGTATTATAAGGTTTGATTTGACGAAACTTGACGAACTCTAGAATTGACTTAAGTGTATCAGAGGAAGAAAGTTAAAAGACACCGAGAGAAATGAAATCTGTCACCAATAATGAGCAATATCAGCAATTCAGCTTCCCAAAACATCCAAAAGTGACTCATAACTGGAACAATGGCTCACCATCTTACAGTTGCTGTTGATATTTATAGTGTAAATAGAATGGATAGGGCTCAGCACAGGCAGCCTAATGTCGATTATTGGACAAAATAAAATACTTTGATAAATGTTTTTGAGTCCAAATTTACTCAAAATATAAATTATTTACAAGTGAATTTCTTGCATGTTTTCATAATGTATAACCTCAGTGTTGAAATGGTGGAAGAAGACTACTACTTACTTGGAGTGTGTCACCAGAAGGATCAGTCGAGCAGCGGGGTTCGTTAATTAACTCCCATGCAAAGATAGTCGGGTCATCCCTGTACTCAATCCCAGTGAAAGTATTTTTTCTTGTTAGGACTGTCTGCCAAAAAGGAGTACACAAAACACGATTAAATTGCGACTGTGGAAATAGACACTACAGTATTAACATATTGTTGATGAATCATGTACGGGATGCAAAATGAAGGAAAAGAATTGACACTTAATGACTTCACGGGATTTCAGTGCAAACGTAGACAACAATACCCAAAAACAAAAGTTTTCTCAACGACTACAATTACCCAAAACAAAAGGACTAGTTTAAAAGTTTACCTTGACATAATTTTTGAAATAATGCCGAATTGATGGGTCGTAGAAGAACGAATCATTAGAAGAGCTCAAAGCAATACCCTCTTCCCTTGCCCACTTAACATACTGAGTCTTTCCACCATATGCTTGCAAGTTATTCACCAAGCTTAGTATCAGCCTTATTCCCTGCCGATTGGCTTCTGCAACAACGTAATCTAACGCCTGCACATAGATTGCATAAGCTTGGACTGAGACGTGCCCAATAAGGAAAATAATAGTAGATGACTATATTCATTGCATATATAGCAGTAAACTTGAATAAAGTATACCAAACATGCCTATTACGTAACTAATCAAATGCCTTCGACAGTTATATAACTGGGCCGTTATTAATCCTTCTGAAACACGCTTAGTCGAGGGGAAAAGAGGTTGCAACTAGCATACGAGCGTGCACAATCATTCATCTGCCCATTCTAGGACAGATGAATATTTTCTTGAACTTCCAAGAACATGAAAAACAGGCTAAAATGAAGCAAACTGGATTTATGTTCTCATCAGTTCGTACAGTTACTAATCCAAATTACACCTATGAAATAGTTCTCATTAGCTGCAAATTTGACTGAAAACAAAATCTAACCACTACTTGTAAGAAAAAATAATTGATAAGGATTAAGCACTATTTCCAATTAGGATAACAAAACATCATAAACACAAACCAGAGATTTATAGCGGCTCATCCTCTTAAAATTTTCACCAAGAACATCAAGATCTAAAGCCGTAAACTGAAAATACGCCTAAATTAGGAGCACATAAACAATGAATGATACACTTTTGATAGATTTTTTCTTACTCTGAATACTCTTTCGTCAAATCTACCAGGAGAAATTTGTAGAGCATTGTATGCTCCATCATTGAAAGCCCAGGTTCTACACACGGTGAGACCCATCTTTGCACCAGTTTGCAGCATCTCTCTGATTCTGGGTCTTCTTGATTCATCCACACCATGGTCCATCATCCAGTAAGAATTCCATCCATTGAAATAAAAAGGCCTACCATCCACTATGAACTGAGTTCCATTCCTCTTCACAAAACTCGAAGTACTTCTCCCATGGAAACCGATCCATAGATCCCCAAATGACATGTATATGAAAACTAAACAAGAAGCAAAACCAATTACGGCATACAACATCCCATTTCCTCCTAGCATTCTGCTTAAAGGTGATTTATACATGAAGGGTATGGAATTGACTAGACAATACAATAGACAAAAGTCTCGAGTAGAATACGCTATCAAAAAAATCTAGGAATATAGGGTGATTCTTGAGTTCGGAGTACTCTTAAAGCAGTAAATCACCCTTCAAAAGTACCCAAGGTGGAATCTTTGAGATAAAATTGAAAAATTAAAAACGAAATAAGTGGTTTTTAATATGGGTTTCTGGCATTAGGAATCTAATGAGCTTCCAAAATCTTTGGATTGCAGCGAAAAGAAATGAACTAGAATTTTTAGGCACCCCTGATCTGATCCCTTTCTGCAAAAGGGTAAATCAATTTTTTGAAACACAAGTTCAAGAATAAAAAATGAGGCTGCCTCTGTGAAAAATTAAAAGTGGTCTTCAGCATGTATCTGTGCCAAATGTAAGCGAATCAAAGAAAGCATACATAATTTATAACAATTCAAGAAAACTTATAAAGAAATATGAGAAAAATGGTGGAATGTTGGTATCAGATTATGCCAAAATAGATCTGAAATTCATGAATTTGGCAGCTTTTTCTTGAGATTTCATACTGTGGTAATGTGCAAGGAATGTCATTCATGGGCCATTTTCTGACATAGGCTT